CTTTGTTGCTTATCGAGACCTGAACCTGAAATACAACTTGAGGCCTAGATGTTATCTCTAGCAGCAGTCGGCAAACTCATTAGTCAACGGAGCCAAATATCAACAGTACGATTGAAATTTCTTTTGAGAGCCAAATTTTTAAAGCTTAAACTATATAGGAAGGTACATTGTTATTAACTTAATTAGGGTACTCCTAAGGCTTAGGAAGAGCCACACTCAAGGGGCTAAAGAGCCGCATATGGCTCACGAGCCGCAGTTTGCCGACCACGGCTCTAGGGAGAGAAGGTCTGGGGGTCCAAACCTCATGACCAGCAATATGCTAAGAAAGGAAAAGTCCCTCTGGGGACAAGGTCCCCTACAATTGATTTTCCATTGCTAGGCACCTGGGGCTTTCTACCCTGTTGACCTTCTGTACCTGGCCCATCGTCCTTGCTCTGCTCCTGTCTATTTAACTGCCTATGACAGTTTCATTATTATAGTTACAGTCAAAGACATATTGACCATTTTCTCTGACACAACAAAACATTGAATGGAATGATTTCGAAAAGCATGTCAATGAATATTTTGTTCTGTTGATAGGTGCCATGGAGGTGGGGTGAGAGGCAGCATCTTCTACTACTTTTTAGTCCATGGGTCAGTAAACTTTTCTGTAAAGGGCCAGAGAGTAACTATGCTAAGCTTCGCAGGCCACAATGTATGTGTTGGAAAATGATTCAACTGACCTTATAGGATCACAGCAATAATAAATATGTGAAAAATGGGTGTGACTTGGTTTCACTATATCTTTATTTACAAAAACAGTGGGCCAGGTTTGGTTTATGTACCCTAATATGCAGACCCATGCTTTTGTCTTTGTGAGCACTCATTAATTCTCTGTGTTTTGGACTTTGTATTTTGCCCTAAGGCAGGGGTCCTCAAACTTTTTAAACAGGGGGCCAGTTCACTGTCTCTCAGACCATTGGAGGGCCAGACTATAGTTTAAAAAAAACCTATGAACAAATTCCTATGCACACTGCACATATCTTATTTTGAAGTAAAAAAACAAAACGGGAACAAATACAATATTTGTATTTGCATGTGGCCTGCGGGCTGTATTTTGAGGACCCCTGCCTTAGGGATTTTTTCTGTGCTACAACTATTTTTAAATGCACTTTAAGTGCAAGATAATCATCATCTCCCAAAAGGTTGAAAATTAATGTGGAAAATGGCACAGAATGAAGAATGTGCTTTATAATGAACTAGAGGCCCAGTGCATGAATTTGTGCACAGGTGGGGTCCAGCTGGCCTGCCCTGATTGGGGCCAATCAGGGCTGGGCCAGCTGGGGGAGGGGCTGTGGGAGGTTGGCCAGCCAGCCCCACCCCCAATCAGACCAGTTGGCCAGCTGCAGTGCATGTTATAGCGACCAGTTGTTCCGGGTCATTCCAGTTGCTTGGCTTTTATATATATAGATGATACACCTGTACCGTTTACCAATTCCCACTCATTCGGAAGTCTTCCTTTATTCCTTTGTTGAGTAAAAAAAACCCCACAAAACTTAATTATATTACATTATACAAGCAAATGTTTTCAAAATCCTGGAAGCTGTTAATTACTTTTAAATATATATTTTTTAATTTCAGAGAGGAAGGGGGAGAGATAGGAACATCAATGATGAGCAAGAATCATTGATTGGCTGCCTCTTGTACCCCCTTCCCCCATTGGGGTTTGAGCCCACAACCCTAGCATATGCCCTGACTGGTAATCAAATTGTGACCTCCTGGTTCGTAGGTCAATGCTCAACCACTGAGCCATGCAGGCTGGACTGTTAATTACTTTTATAGAGGTGTTTTCATTGTTCAATTAATACATTTTTCTGTCTGCATTTGCATATCTTAGTTTAGGATGGAATACATCATAAGTTTTCCATTACAATTATTTAAAGTATTTTTTGTTTTTCGTTTTTCGTTTTTCATTCAGCAGTTGAATGTTTGGGAATGAATTCATGCTGCTAAGTAATAGATAGGTGTACTTCAGGGTAAGGCCCAGTTAACCTCACCTGTGGGGAAACTGCCAGTCTAAGGAGGGTAAAGGCTACTCCAGCTAGCATTGCATGGCCACCATTGCATGTCAGTCTGGACCCAAAATATGTGAGGAGATTTGGAGAATGTATATGGCAGTGATCCTCCTCACCGTGTTTCCATTTTCTGGTTCTCCTACGCCATCTGAGGCCGGTCCTTGGGTCTCAGTGTTCCTAACTAGACATAAATATACCTTTGTTATCAAGTATATGGGTTTGCCTGAGGTTAAAATGGGATATGAAAGTGCTATGCCCTTGTAAAGTATCATTATCATTTGAGCATTTAGAAGGAGTTAGGAGGCTGAGCCCCACACACCCCCCGCTACTAGTATCTGAGGTTCCTGAAGCTGCTTTTTAAGAGTAAGTAGCTAGGTCTAACTTGGGTGATTTTCATTGCTCTTATTTCTCCTTTTTCCATTATGGGCAAGGAACTGTAGAGGCTGGAGCTGCAGTAGTGAACTTGATGGACACAATTCTTGACCTCATGGAGCTCAAAGTCTAAGAAGTACTATGGAGTCACGTCCAAAAACCATTGGGAGAATCCCAACCTAGGAGCCAAAGGTTTGCTAGTGTTATAGAATAACAACACAAACACAATAACATCAATAGCCAATGAGCAAATATTAACTACAGGTTACTCTGATGTCATAATTTGGAGAAGGATTATGCTCTTCTGACTTTGAGACAACATGAACTGAGCCAAAATTAAGGTAGGATATGTCATGAAATAACTCTAAAGCTGTAGGAGAATCCCATGAAAGGATCTAAAGCCTCACCAGGATCAGCCAGGTAAGACCATGAGCCATGTTATACTGGGCTCATTGGTGTTTGCTGCGCTCTGGTGTGACCCCCAGGCCCACAGACACAAGTTTTGTATGAGAAAGAAAAATGCTCCACTGGTTTCTAAATGTAGCTGAATCCTCCACCCCCTACGCCCACTGTCCCATGACCTCCAATAAAACAAGAACAGGTAAGTAATAATTGTGTTGTGAATTAATGATATCTAGGGGGGGACAAGAAAAGATAAACTAGCCCTAGCTGGTTTGGCTCACTGGATAGAGCGTCGGGCTGGGGACTGAAGGGTCCCAGGTAAGCCAAAGAATTTATATACTTACTAGAGGCCTGCTGCACAAAATTTGTGCACTTGGGTAGGGGTGGGGCATTGTTTCTCAGCCCGGCCTGCACCCTCTCACAGTCCAGGAGCCCTTGGAGGATGTCCTACTGATGGCATAGGCCTGCTCCAAGTCGGCAGTTGGACATCCTTAGCGCTGCTATAGAGGCAGGAGAGATTCCCGCCACTGCTGCTGTGCTCGCCAGCCATGAGTCCAGATTCTGGCTGAACGGCCCTTTCCCTGTGGGAGCGCACTGACCACCAGAGGGCAGCTCCTGTATTGAGTGTCTGCCCCCTGGTGGTCAGTGTGCATCATAGTGACTGGTCGTTCTGCCATTTTGTTGATTTGCATATTAGCCTTTTATTATATGGACATGGGCAATAGCGTAGTAAAGACCTGGAGGCGGGTATAGGTTGGGAGGAGGTGGGGAGATGAGGAAATGGGAGATAACTGTAATACTAGCAACAATAAATATGTATTTAAAAATGAAAAAAAACCCGATATCTATATACAGGGGTGAGCAAAAGTAGGTTATTATTAATAAAAATTAGTGCACTAATAAGTAAGTAATACAAGAATAAATTCTGTTTTGTATACTCACACTATAGACCTACTTTTGCCCACCCCCATAATCAGATCATAAAATGCATATCATTTCAATAGCACTGAAATATTGGTTGCCCTTTCCCATGAAGAAAGCAGATTTTCATAACGTTAGCATCATCAAAGAAACCAAAGATCCAGTCATTAATTAATCTTTCCAGTGAAACCAATTGCCTTTGAATTCATTCTGGGGAATCTGCTGAAATGGGTGCTTATGGAAACATAAAAACATAGTAACCGCCCTAGCTGGTTTGGCTCAGTGGATGGAACATCGGCCTGGGGACTGAAGGGTCCCGGGTTCGATTCCAGTCAAGGGCACATGCATGGGTTGCGGGCTTGATCCCCAGTTGGGGGTGTGCAGGAGGCAGCCGATCGATGATTCTCTCATTATTGATGTTTCTATCTCTCTCTGCCTCTCCCTCTCTGAAATCAATGAAAATGTATTTTAAAACACACACACAACATAGTAACCAGTGACTGCCTCCGTGGGACTAGAGTAAAAATACATGGGGGACACTTTTCATCAAACCATGCAGGAAAAAAATGTTTTTTTACCATAATACACTTAGTTTGAAAACTTACCTGTCATTTGTACAATTCTTAGCACTACACAGCGGATATGCTTTTCCTTCCTCTTTAAAAAAAAAATGTTCCGGTCCAAACCATCAGCCTCTGTAGGTTGTCTTAATTGCTACTTTGCATTGCACTGGACTATGACTCTGATTTTTGGCACATGTGGTCATACACAGAGTTCCTAAAATAAAATGCTCCAGGATATCCCAGGAACTCTTAGAAGGCTTTAAAAACGGACTTGCTCACTGACAGCATATCTTTGATAAAGACACTTCAGGCGAGCAGAATGACTATTGCGAAAAGAATTACGTGATGTTGCAATCTTGAAGTGGGTCCGGAGAATCCTTGCCACCTAACTTGTCATGGTCAGGGGGAGTCTGACGAGAATCCAGTTGTGATAAAGACAATTGTTTTTTTTCCTCCCCAAGTGACTATACATTTAAATAGCTAAAACATCTGTTCAGCAACATAGTAAAACATCTACACCCGGAACGCCTGAGAGAGGAGCCTGCCAAACCATCGGTTGAGAGGGACTTTGCTGGGGGGAGCACACCAAGATAAAGCAACCGCTGTTTATTTTGTCTGGTCAGGGGGAGAGCCGAGGCAACCAATATTTTGGGTTTCTTTTACTTCATTTGTGTGGAGAACTATTTGAGAAGGGCTGGTGAGGGGCTCTTTCCTGATAGGACCTTTTTCAGCTGCCCATTAGCAGAAGAGCAAGAGAACTTTGGATGTCAACACCTACCACATTCTTGAGACCGGCCAACAGACCACAAACAGCAGCTCTCTTCTTGTCTGGCCTTCACATCCCTCCCAATGGAAGCAGAAACTGGGAGCAGCAGGGAGACTGGGAAATCGGCCAGCAAAGGCACTCGGATCGCCCTGGTGGTGTTCATAGGTAGCACCCTGGTGCTGGGCACCATCCTCTTTCTAGGTAAGTGGGGCACTGGAAGCCAGGGAGCTGGGCGAATGCAGTGAAATATCTTTGTGCTTGATTCTGTCAGACTCATCAGGATGCAGGTGGAGGGCTGTTTGCTTGTGTTGGTCGATGGTGCATCCTTAGTTTCTATTAAGTATGCAAATAGTGGGAGCCTTTTCTTTAGGAGGCTAAATAAATAAATACACACAAGTACTCAGTGCGTAGTCCAGGATGTGAAGTGGGTATAAAGTGGCTTCCGAGTGGCTGGAGGATTCGGTTGCACTGGGCAAATATTGTTTTTATGCATTACATTTAGCAAAATGAGTGTTTATGAATTCATAGGCAGATACTTTCATTTATTTTGTGAGGAAAGAATTACACCGTGATCAAAACCATGCTGGAATTTCTTTCCATTTGATTTCTGTCAATGTTTGCCTGAGTGAATCACAAAATTTAACACACAAAATACAAATTAGTTTTTATAAATGCACCTTTAAATGATATTCTTTTCCAACCCAGTGACTCTGGTGGGATAAAATTTTAACTCCGCCTTTCTATTAGATTTAAAAAATAATATGAAGGAAAAGAGGTTTTCTTCCAAGATTTGAAAGGTGTTAGTATTGAATTATGTTAACTCTTGGTGAGAATAAGGTTTCCAGGGAGAATATATGACGATAAAAACATATTCCTATACAAAAAAATGAAATACGTTGGAAAGACTGTAGGCATTCTGAACCCTTGCCTATTAGCCTTTGTAATTTTCTCTTACAGCCCATACTATCTCATGAGCTTGAAAGTTGTATAGAACCAAGCCCTATACTTAGCAGATTCTAGGTGCAGTTTGAAATGTAGCATGCCTGGAAACATTCTTTGGCACATACAGGATGCAGGAGGCCATGTTTATCTTGGCAGGGGCAAACCAGTAATTAAACTTGAAAAGAGTTAGGGTTGTGTGGTTGAAAACTCTGCTAAAATGAGCAAACCATCTTTCCATGTTGTCTGTGGCTGAAAATTTAGGGAATTAGGTGGCTTTATTGCTTTCTGGTACAGTTAAATCTCCTACTCCTGCAGCCAAATTGTGGCTCTCGAAAACTGTTATGCGATCTCTTGGCTTTTGGGTTTTAGGCAAGTGTCCTATCCTGAAATTCAAAACTGGAGGAAAACTGATAGGGGCATGCCAAGGGACTACATACTGTGTAGGAAGTGACCACAAAGCTAGACTATTTGTGTTTTGAAAACACTCCCAACTTAAAAATCCGAATGGTGATTGTTTATGTAAAAATATGTACTGTTTTGAATTATATTACTGCCTCTTGAAATGTTTTTGAAATTCCATTGTTATGATTACATTCTGAGGCTGAAGCATATAAGTTGGAATACTCTTTTTTAAAAATAAATATATTTTATTGATTTTTTTACAGAGAGGAAGGGAGAGGGATAGAGAGTTAGAAACATCGATGGGAGAGAAACATTGATTAGCTGCCTCCTACACACCCCCTACCGGGGATGTGCCTGCAACCAAGGTACATGTCCTTGACCGGAATCGAACCTGGGACCCTTGAGTCTGCAGGCCGACGCTCTATCCAGTGAGCCAAACCAGTTAGGGGTGGGATACTTTTGATGGCAGCAAATCTTTGTTTTTTGAGAGAACATGATTCTCTGGGGTCAGCAGTTAAGTTTTTAGAGCACAGTAAAACTCACCAAGCCATTATATACAGACCAAGGAGGTCTGTATCTAATAGAAAAAAAGAACTTTCCAGTGTGCCCAATAACCTGGTTTTCACTAGGAATCTTTAAGAGGAGCTCTAATGATGTTAGAGAGTAAGGGTGTGGCTATTCTACACCTTTGCTTCTCAAAGGGTCGTCTGTGGACCAAAAGCATCAGCATACATGCAAGCCTGGGCTCTACCCACCCCAGACCTACTGATTCAGGATCTGCATGTTTACAAATTAAAGTTTCAGAAGCATTGCTTCAGGTCACCACATCCATTTGGATGCATACCGACAGAGACATTTGCTTTAAAATATATTTACACTCTCAAATTAAAAAGTAAATGATATTTTGGTCAGATATCTCTGCACTATGTCAGACTCCTTCTGTTCCCTCTTCACTACCTAGTTCCCCAGGCTCTGCCCCCCCCCCCAACCTCCACCTGCACCCAGCAAAGACCTTGTCTGGAAATCTCCTGGGACCTGCCAGGCAATGCTCTTTGTGACAATATTCTGGCTAAGGTCCTCTCCTCTTCAAGATGCTTCTAGTTTGATTTTGTGGTATATTCTTCTTCCTGTTCAAATTCAGTCTTATGCCTGGCTGGCATGGCTCAGTGGTTGAGCATTGTCCTATGAACCAGGAGGTCACAGCTCGATTTCCAGTCAGGGCATATGCCCAGGTGGTGGGCTCGATCCTCAGTGTGGGGCATGCAGGAGGCAGTGGATCAATGATTCTCTCTCATCATTAATGTTTCTCTCTCCCTCTCCCTCTCCCTTCCTCTCTGAAATCAATAAAAATATATTTAAAATAAAACAAGGCTAGTATCAAGAAGGTATTGTCCAGAACCATAAAATATTATTTACAATAAAGTTTATTTTTCCATTATAAAAACACACATGCTCATTAAAGAACATTTGGAAAACATATGGAAGTAGACTGAAGGGGAAATTTCCTCCATGCTTCCACCACCCAAGCACATTGCAATATTTGGTACTAATTTTTAAAGTGCACAGATATATTTTTACCTAACCACTGTTTTTTTTTCTTTTTAAAGAAATCAAAATGCATCTTTATGCTACAATACTTCATTCTTTTAAAAAATATTTTTATTGATTTCAGAGAGGAAGGGAGAGGGAGAGGGAGAGAGAAACATCCATGATGAGAGAGAATCATGGGTCGGCTGCCTCCCACATGCCCCCTACTGGGGATCGAGCCCACAACCCGGGCATGTGGCCTTGACCAGAATTGAAACCGGGACCCTTTGGTCTGCAGGATGATGCTCTATTCACTGAGACAAACCGGCTAGGTCAATACTTCATTTCTTAAAAGCAGGCCTGAGATGTTTCATAGGCAGTTTATCGAATCTGCAGTGTAATAGGTTTGGAGGATTGCAGCAGAGATATGAACAAAGAAAAAGCTGGCTCCTCTCAGAATGTGGGTTAATAAATAAAACAGAATATAAACAGACAGGTAAGTAAATAAACAAACCAGATTGACAGGCTGGCAAGTGACATACAGGTATTCCATCTCTAGCAGAAATATAGATACCGCCACGCTTTCTGATTCTGCTTCTCAGTTGAGGATGCCACAAAGAGCCCTCCACCCCCAACTTCCATCTCCCCACAGCCACATCTCCAAATGGTTCCCTAGTTCTGCCCACAGAGCCCAGTGATAATGAATTCCCCACCAGTTCTTCGGCTACCAAAAATATTTCTGAAATCTAAGCTCACATCTGCTAATGCCCAGGTGCTACCTGGAGTTTACAAATGGGTACCCTTCTGTACTCCCGCAGAAATCCATTTAGATAATGTTGCACCAGATGGGGGAAAGTGAGCTATTGGTGGAAAGCTGTTTCCATCTTGCGGGGGTTTTGTTCCGCTTTGTGTTCGTGGAAGTAGTTGGAAGCTTGGTCCATGGAGCTGCGTCTGGTAGCTAGGCTGGGTCTGGAGGGAGGAGGGTGTGTGGGGTACAAAGCAGGCAAATAATGGCTCTCTTGCTAGATGACTGAGTTACATACAATATATATTACCTTCCTCCCCCTTGGGCCATATCTAGATGGATGGTTTAGATAAGACCCAGAACTCTCTCTCTTTCCACTCAGGATTTGTTTGAAATGACATGTTTCAATTTTCCCATCACTAAAACCAGAATGTAGTTGTAAACAAAAGAGTAAAATTATGAGACTTAAATCATAGATAATAGGAGATAGAAGAGACTTTAGAGATCTTCTAGCCCGTAATTTTTTTTTTTTAGCCCAGTAGTTCTTAAACATGAGCCTGCATCAGAATCCCCTGGAGGACTTGTTAAAATGCAGATGGCTGGGCCCCACCTCAGAGTTTCTGATTCAGAAGGACTGCAGGGCTTGGTAATTTGCATTTCTAACAAATTCCCAGGTGATGCTGTTGCCACTGCTCAGGGGACCCCATTCCGAGAAGCGCTGGTCTAATGGTGCCCAATCATCGTATGTTTGAGAGAATTGAATTGCAGAGCAACCAAGAGTCTCACCAAGGTTACTTAGCTAATGACCAGAGTCTGGTTCTGTGATATTGAGCCAACTGGGTTTTTTAGTTCTGTGTCAATACTGAGAAGGATGAACTGATATCAAATGTCTTGTATATGTGCCTGATGGTGGGTTACCTGAGGGTGATCTGCTTCAAGCAGTCATTTCTTTATTTTGGTCTTGTTTTTTCAGTGAGTCAAGGTTTCTTAAGTCTCCAAGCTAAACAGGAGTACTGCCTGAAGCCAGAATGCATCGAAGCTGGTAAGTCAGTTTTCCATCCTGTGTCAAGTTATAATTATGGTACCTTGGGGAGTGGAAGAGAAAACAGGTGGTATTTTTAGTATCCTGTTTGCTTGAGGTTTACAAAGTATGAAATGCAATTTTGATGAAATTTTAAGTTTACTTTCAAATCTGGGTGTGAAGTTGTGGAGCGCAGGTTTCCTGTTTTCTTTTTCCTTGAAAAAAACAGCTGTGCGGTATTCCAAGTCATTGCAGGCAGACAGAGATATGACGATTTCGGCTCCAGACCACCACAATAAAATGAGTATTGCAACAAAATGAGTTGTAATCTTTTTGCCGGTGGAGGGTCTTGCCTTCAGTTTGTAAAAAAAAGCAACACCTGTGAAGAGCAATAAAGCAAAGCACAATAAAACACTTGAAAATGATATATAACCTTATTAACCAGTGTCACCCCAATAAATTTAATAAAAAAGAAAAAAAGAACCCCCCCCCAAGGTATTACTGTATGAGGAAATCAGAAAGGGGCTTGGAAAGCTGAATGGCCTCTCTTTAAGGCCCAAAGACTAAGACCATTGACCTTCCTACGGCCTCAACTCGATATAGATTCCTATTTATCTTAAGCAGTCTTTCTGAATCTTCCGGTCAGTGGGTCCGCCCTGCTTGCGTCCATGCAGGGATGCTCTGTAAATCCATGCTTCCACGGTTACCTGGATTCTCTTTGGGTCCTTCTATTGCACATTACAAGTCAAATTTTTCTTGAGGTGATCAGGCCGTATATCAGTGAATTCCTTAAAGTGAAGCTGAGTACTTAAAGTTGCCTCAACTTCCATAAACCAGTGTTAGGGCCTAGATTTCCAGCCCCACCCCCATTTTTCAGGTGGGCAGGGACACTAGTGTGTTTTCGAAAGAGAAAGCCATAGGGTAAGTTAAGCACATGAGACTCACTATGCACAGGGGTCTGCAGAACACCTACAGAATACGTCGCAGAATGGTGGCCAAGGGAAGGACCAGAGCAATCCTGTGTGTGCGGATGCCGTGTGCATGTGTGTGCCACGTGTGTGCATGTGTGGGAGCCACGTGCCCGTGCACTTTGTGTGTGTGTGCGTGCCTTGTGCGTACATGCCGCATGTCTCTGTGTATGCATGTGTGTGTGCGCCCATGGGTGGCATGTGTGTGTGCACCACGTGCATGTGCGTGCCTGTGTGTGTACATGCCACGCGTGTGTATGCGTACGTGCATGCGTCCACGGGTGGCGTTGTGTACGTGCATGTGCGTGCACCACGTGCATGTGTGCGCATGCCGCATCTGTGCGTGCTGCGTGCGTGCCTGCGTCCACGGGTGCCGTGTGCGTGCGTGCGTGTGCGTGCGTGCGTGCGTGCGCATGCACTTTGTGCATATCTGGGTGCCTTGTGCGTGCATGCATGGGCGCTGTGTGTGTATGTGAGTGCAGCACGCTAGAAAGTGCTCGGCTTCGGAACCTTTTCTAAGATGTCTCTCCCATAAATCTCTTTTCTTCACCTTTTCTATTTCCTCCTATTTTAACCGGTGTTTCAAAATAAGAAATGGAGAAAGAATACAAGGAAAGAAGGAATGAAGGAACGGGTATGTTAATGATAGTGGGTAAGGGCAAACAGTCTGGCATGGGTTTGAAGCATAATGTGGCCACTTAAAAGCCACATGAGTTAAGTACAATAGACACCCTGAGTCTCAGTTTCACCATCTGTAAAGTGGGGATAATAGTTTTCACTTATCATGCCATTGAGAATATAAGAAAATAATGACTGTGGTAGTAGTAATCCAGGTCCACAATTCCAGATCCTTATCCCCAAACCCAGAAAGCATGGTAATTCTAAGTTGGCAAGACTGGACCTGATCTCAACTCCTGTGGTGGCAAAACTGGATCCTAACTTATGTGAGGCTGTTTTAGACTTTGTTTTCCCCGTATGAGAATATGTATACATTCCCAATAGAATTCTTAATGTGCTTGTTTCTGGAGTGCCATTCCAGATGTTGCTGGAGGCGTTCTGTTATATAATCTGTGGTATATGCACTGTATAACTTTTCTAAAATGTGAAAATCTATGAGCTCTGAAACATCTGGCCTCAAGTTTCAGATAAGTGTTCGTGGAATTATAGTACTAAAAATTTATATGTGTGGTTGCCGGATTTAGCTACAGACACATTTAGGATGCTCAGTTAAATTTGAATTGCACACGTACAACCACTAACTTTTTTGCAGAAGTATGTCCCATATAATAATTGGTATGAATTTATACTATAAAATTAGTTATTTATTTGAAATTCAAATTTCACTAGGCATCTTGTATTTTACCTGGCAACTGTATTATTTGGCAGTGTCTCTGGCACTGTTCTAAACACTTGGCATACATATATTTACTCATTTAATTATCTTGAAAATCCTATGGGCTGCTATTATGGTCCACATTTTACATATGAAGAAACTAAGACATAGAGAGGTTAAGTAACCTGCCTGAGGTTACAGAGCTACTTCATTGTATTGCTGGCATTCAAATCCAGATAGTCTGGCTCTGGAGTCTGTGATGATGCCATACTGCCTGGAAAGGGCTAGCATAGTCCCTGGCACAGAGGAAATGCCCAGTATTTTTTATTATTATTATTATTATTATTATTACCACCCCCTCCCCCTCTTTCTTGAGCCCTGATTAAACTTACAAACTCAGCCTGGTATATGGGGTGATCCCTCCATCTGTACTACATAAACATTAGCTGGAAACCACATAACAATTCACCTTATATACAGCTAGAGGCCCAATGCATGAAATTTGTACAAGGGGCTTGGCCCTCGCAGCGCCGGCTTTGTCCGAAAGGTCGCCAGGAAGTTCTAATTAGCATATTATGCTTTTATTATTATTATTTTTTAAAAATATATTGTATTGATTTTTTTACAGAGAGGAAGGGAGAGGGATAGAGAGTTAGAAACATCGATGAGAGAGAAACATTGATCAGCTGCCTCCTGCACACCCCCCACTGGGGATGTGCCCGCAACCAAGGTACATGCCCTTAACTGGAATCGAACCTGGGACCCTTGAGTCTGCAGGCTGACGCTCTATCCAGTGAGCCAAACCAGTTAGGGCAATGCTTTTATTGTTATAGATGACTTGAGAGATTACATAGCACAGTTTTCCTTCATCATCATATATATACATATACTAGGGGCCTGGTGCACGAAATTCGTGCACTGGGTGTGGGGTGGGGGGAGTGTCCCTCAGCCCAGCCTGCTCCCTCTCACATACTGGGAGCCCTCAGGTGATGACCCCCATCACCCTCCAATCGCAGGATCGGCCCACTGCCCAGGCC